ACCGTATTTACATTGAACCTTATGGGAAAATTTGATTCAGTTGGCGACCAAAATCGGTTGGTGACCACATTCGTAGGGGTCAAAACGGATTAACGGTATTTACATTGAACCTTATGGGAAAATTTGATTTGGGTCGCGACCAGAGTCGCGGAACGAATTAAGTTCGTGACCCGAGGTACCACTGTACAACCAAGAGTTCATTGTCCAATATGGTCTAGTTCTTGATAGTGTTAGGTTTCTGTGAATGGCATGCACATTGGAGGTACACCCTTGAGATGTTGATGGTTGAGGCATGGATTTCCATCACAAAAGGAGTCTTGGGGTCCAGATAAGTGGTTGCAGGATAGTCATGAAATACTGAGTTGTTGGAAAGCCTTTTGTGTGGTTTGGTTGTATAAAATGGTAGTGTTTTACACAGCTGAATCAACATAGGAATGAGCTTTCTTTGAGAACTTGCAAAGCCAAAATACTTCTGTACTTCATTTAAATTTCAGAGTGGTTCACATGAAATTCCATCCTACGGTGCTGATACAGAGGGCTCAGGCCTAGGCTGCAACATATCCATACCCATATTCATAATTAGGAAAACATCCCTTTATCCATATCTATAATTAGGAAAGCATCCCTTTGACCATACTAGTTTACTGCTTGCACTATATTCTATTACATCTTATAATTGGGGTTAAAAATGGATCCTGCCAGTAGGAACCCATACATTATGGTGATCTTTTCTACCTGCAGGTGCCTTGGTTCAATTCAGTACGTGAAGAGCAAATCTGGGAAAACGTATTTGCTGCAAATAAAAGTAAAGGGAATAGGACAAGGGGAACTTGTGAATACTCTAAAGATGTTTCCACAAGCAGGCTGTCAAGAAAGGTAACTGTTAACATTTATCTTCAGCTTGATAGAATGCTTAACATAGTTTTAATTAGCACATTTTGTATGCATGTTTGATAATTAATATTTGATTATAATGCTGTTCTCTGAGCTGCCCTGATTGCCAGTAGACTTCCAGGTGCAATTAAAGGTTTTGGTTATCACCTATAAATCCTTTTATGGCATAGGGCCATGTTATTTGAGAGAGCGCCTGTCTCTGGCTGTTTCTGTTCATCTGATAAAGGCAGAATGGATGCACTTCGGGGGCCATAAATTAAAGAATATCATCTAGTGGCACCCAGAAAGTATGGGTTCTCTGTTGTGGCACCTACCCTTCCAAGTGATATCCACCCAGAGATCTGGATGGCTCCCACCCTGATGATGTTAAGAAAGCTACTGAAGATCTGGCTATTTTCCCTGCCCTTGGGTTAGGTTGAGGGTGGAACTCCGGTTGATTGGGTTTTTCTTTATATGTCTGTCCTCAGGCCACTTATGATTTTTTGGGTATTTTTTTTTTTTAAATGTTATCAGGAGTTGGGCAGTCTCCAAATTGCTAAAGTAGCTTTAGGCTATAAAACAGGAAGAGTTGCCTGTAACTAATTTAATTGTCATTTAAACAATAAATAATTTAAATATATTCTTGAAATATTTCAGTCTTGTGCTTTTTTTCTAAATGATTTTTAAATTTAGTTGCTTCTATTCGGCATCTTCATTTTATTACCACTGGAATTTCAGGAACTGACAATTTGCATAAACTGAGAGACTCTTCTTTATATCTACATGTTACCTTATTGGATTTATTGGCAGCAAACCAATATAGGACTGGAGACTTCTTAAAGTGAGTGAAACATTTCTTTTTAAAGGATAGGGTAGGGTGGGGTAGGGTAGGGTAGGGTAGGGTAGGGTAGGGTAGGACAGGATAGGATTCCAATATACTGGTGACAAGTGTGTGTGAGCTCTCTCCCTTGGGGACAAATTTATTAAGTTGGGTAAAAAAAACCCTATTGAGTAACCTAGAACAAGAGTTAGGGCATCTAAAATATCTAAATCAATTAAAACATCTATTAGATCCTCAGTGACGGCAAATAGAACAACTAAAGAATTGAATGCCAAGAAGATGTACAGGAAGAACTGTATGTTTAAGAGAGCTAAACTACAGAAGGAAGAAGCCAAACATTTATGCAATAATTTGACAATCTATTTGATTGTCCCCAAGGGAGAGAGCTCTCACACACAAACAGGTAAATACCTTGCAATTTATGCCTAATAAATTTGAAACACTTATTTAGTTCTGTGCCAGGTAGCAAACTGTGCCCTATCTATGATGACAAAGTTGAATTTTTAGAGGATGACGAGCGGCCAAAACTTACTCCAATCTCCACTCATTTTCAAGAGGCTGTTGCTTAATCTTCTGATCTAAATGAAGGAGCTTACTGCTCATATGGTGCTCTCAATATCTGAACAACTGAAAATGGCGAAATGGATGAATTATATCTTGAGAGATCTTTTCAATACCAATAGAAGTATCACCTGGGCAGTTCAAGTAAAGCTACTGTATAGAGATTTAGAGAGATTTAGAGATTTTTCTTTTCTATTGGTAGAGATTTATCAAATCTGGGTGACTTAGCAGTGCATAAGACAAATCTAAACTTAGAAAGTACGCACAGAATTCAAAATGAATGGAAGAGGTTAAAGGAAAAAAAAAGAAATAAAGAACCTGCAAGCCAAGACTCTGATAGCTGCAGAGAAGGAAGCTCTCACATTCTTCAAATGAATAGAACAATGCTATTAAAGTTGTCAGACATGCAGATAGAAAACATTTGTCTTATCAGAGCTTCCAATCATATTTATAACCACCCTTTCCTTCTCAGAATGATGTGGTTGAATGTCATCAGCTATGCATAGCCCTGAATTCTAGCCACAGAATCCCCAGTCATTGCAAATATTTTGGTTGGTTTGCTGAAGAAGTAGGTTTGGATGGCATTTTCCCTGTAGGTTCCTCTATGCCAAGGCAACATTCTGCCCAGATACAGAAGTGAGTCATGAACACGTAGTTTACCTTTGTCAGCTCTTTGAGGTAGTCCAGACCAGGAAACCAAAATCATGAATATTAATACTACTTTTATTGTAAGGTTACAGCAACAGAATCTTGCAAATCTGAAAGTGCTTCCCCCCTCCCCTGCCTTTACTTTCCAAAGAATTAGGGATGGTCTCTTCTGAGATGTTTTCTCAAATTACATTTCTGGTTTGGACTCAGATTTCATTTATCAGACTGTTGTCTAGGCTGCAGATCTTCCTCCTGTCTTTCAAGGTTATTCTCACAGCCTCTCACTTAGATGCAATGGAAGTCACATTTCTTTTCCATTGCAATGGATTCTATGATTTGTGGTGGAATCTACATTCCTAAAGCTAATATTAATAATTAGGGTATGTTAACTTTTTGTTTCAATACTGTTCTGCCTTCCTTCAGTGCTCTGCAGATGTATTATTGTTATTATTATTATTATTACAGCCCATGACAACTTTCCACACATTAGTGGACAAAGAGATGCCATAAGTAATTACAGGTAGCCCTTACTTACCAACCACTTGTTCAGTGACTGTTTGAAGTTGCGATGATGCTGAACGAGTGGCACTTTAACTAGTCCCTGAAGTTCCAGCTGTCACAGTGCCCCTGTGATCACGTGATCACAATTCGGGTGCTTGGCAACCAGCTCGCACTTATGATAGTTGCAGTGTCCTGCGGTCACGTGATCGCCATTTGCGACCTTCCCGACCAGCTTCCCACAAGCAAAGTCAATGGGGAAACCAGCAGGGAAGATTGCAAGTCACAAGTCCCACCCTCACCTTCCTGCACACCATGCCGCACCCTCCTTTCCTTGGCCTCCCTGCACTCATACTCACCCACGCCTTCCTTCCCTTGGCCTCCCTGTGCTTGCACCACACTATGCCCTCCTTCTCTCAGCCTCCCTTTGCATGACTGTGCCGTGCCCTCCTTCTCTCGGCCTTCACAATGGCGCCCCCCCCCCCCCGCAGCACCCCCGCGCTCCTTACCTGGGATTCCCACTGCTTCCCGCTTAATGACTCTGCACGTCTTGGGGTTACAAGGGCAACTGGACTGCCTGGATTGCCGTCACTAAGTGATGTGGTCACATGACATCATGCTTTATGACCGCATCACTTAGCAACAGCAATCTCAGTCCCAAACTGCATTTTATCTTCCAGTTTGTTGAAATCATTTTCCTGGCTTGCACAATAATATTTCAGATGCCTGTTCTCTTCTGTCTCTGTATGTCCATTTCTCCAAAGTGTATCTTGAAGGGAGACAACTCACCCAAATCCCTATTTCTGCCAAACAAATACAATAAATGGAAGATTCCACTTGAACAGAATATATTGAACAGAATATAGAGCTTGACCTATTTTTGGCCTTGTCTTTTTTTTTTTCATTGATATTTTTCCACTGTTTTTGTAGATGGTCCTGTAGTTAAGGTTTGTAAATTTCCTAAATGTTTTGAATCCTTTTTATTCAGTTTCTTTTTCAGTTTGGCACAGAAAAGACTGTAAATCTGAAAAGTTGTTTAGCTCTCCTGCACTCTAGAAGTATAATTTCATCTTCCATCATACTGATGCAACATTTGCACCAAGTAGATCCTCTGAGCTGTCCTGAGAGAAAAATTGGGAAGAGGGGAAGCACTGGGGAAACAAGAATATCACAGTTGTCTGGAAAGTCCTTGGCTCTTTTGGCGATGTGAATGGACTGAAGGAATGAAGGCTTGAAGTAACAGAAAGAGCTGTTGTAGACAGAAAGACATTCCCATTTCAAACAAGGGACAACTCCATTATTACCTAGCTGTTTATGAATTCTTCTGCTGAGATTCCAGCTTAAGCCAATTACTTAAGGTAAACATGTTCTTCTTACTTTTTTTTACTGCTTCTTTGTAGACTAAAGCAAACAAGTATCCTAGTTATTGCTTGAATTGATAAAAAAGAGAAACACAGTTACTCAGAATAATATTCAGACATCAAGTTATATGTAATTTAACTTATTAAAAATGATTCTGCTTGACTCATCTCAATCCAACTTGCACAGAAAATCTCATTTAGTTCTGAGTACACCTGCATATCATTAAACTGGGTAAGCTTTTGAAGTTGCTTACAGGAAGGATTTTATTTAATTAAACAAGCCAAACATTATTTTGTTTTTGCACAATTGGAGCAATTGCTTTGAGTAAAGACCTCCACCTAGACATCTGGAAATACTACTAGATACCCCTGATTTGAGAGGAATGCCAAACTTAGATTATTTTTCTCTCTCTCTCTTGACTATTCCTTCTCACTGCTGGTTGTATCTAGCTAAGAAACAAAGTAGTAAACGCCTGCACGATGTTAACTCATTGATCTGCTTAGGGAAATATATACATGCACAGCATTGCTTCAGTCTGTTCCAATGAAGTGGTTTACAAACTGTTTTTGAAATATTGGGATTTTCTTTAATTACACCATTTAAAAATGTATGAATGTGTTGTTTAGTCATAACTGGAACAGTTCTAAACAAGGATCTCCTCCTAGAGCTTTGGAAATAGTGTTAGGGGCTGGCAAGTAGAAAGGGATACCATGCAGGTATCTGATGATTTCCTTTCTCACTCTTTGGTGTTATAACTAGCTAAGAAAAAAGAAATGTGCTCCAAAAATGCAAAATCAAAACCCTGCATGGCTTTAACTTATATTGATCTGTTTAGAAAATAAATAGACGCACAGACATTGCCCAGTGAGCAGGAAAGGGAGGGGAGTTGCTATGTTTAACTTGTGTCTGCCACAGTGTCAAGGTTTCTTTACAGGCACCTTTCTGGCTTTGAGCAAAATTTAAAATGCAGAAACAGCACATAAGACAAAGAAGTGTGTGTCAACAGACTGCTGTGCTCTTGTAGAAAAACATAATTTTGAAATGGAGAATGAGAATGCAGAGTTTTCAGGCGAGAGTAAAATGGTAAATGAGGTTTTAAAAAGGAGCTCCAGTGCTGTTTGTTTTCTCCTGGTTTTCTTTCTCCCTTTTAAAAGATAAAGTTAAGAAAATGGCCACAACTGCAATAAGAATAGCTTGCTTTGTGTTCATTGCTCAACAGAGTTATTGAATGGCATTGTTTTGGGGCTGAGGAAAAACTCTTTATAAGAATCAAAATAGGGACTTGCTTTTGTTTTACAGTCTGAACATAGCGGACTGTGTCAATGAAAGAAAAATGGTCTACTGTATGTTTGGAACCCTTCATGGAACAGGAAGAATGTTCCCATACACATGCAAAATAAAGCTGAGGGAATATTACTGTTGCCCAGGCTTATAATAGACTATTTGGAGAGAAAAAAATCACCTGCACTTTGCTGATCCTCTCCACCTTGTTGAAGCTTCCAGGGCCATCTGGAATAGGAATTCTAAGCTAGTTATCCATCTGTTTATCCTTTGGTGCCTTCTTTTATTAAAACAAGAGAGAATCTAGTTCAGAAAGGTTACACAGAAGTGCAAAGTGTCAGCAAGGTATGGGAAATGCATCCTGTTTTCTTCCTGCCTTTTCTGTTTATGAAGACCTTAATGTTTAGATAGGTCTTGGACTGAAGGCTGCCAAAGGAAAAGAAGAGTATAGGTAGACCTCGCTTAACAACTGCCCTGTTTAGTGATAGTTTGAAGTTACAATGGTGCTGAAAAAGTAACTTTACGACCAGTCCTCACATTTACAACTATTGCACCATCCCCGTGGTCACATGATTGACACTTGGACACTTCGTAACTAGTGGGCGTTTATGACCATTGCAGCATCCGCAGTCCTGTGCTTCACAACCAGCTTCCGACAAGCAGAGTCAATGGAGAAGCCGGCAGTGAAATCGCAAGTTGTGGTCACGTGATGTCTTAATGACCTGCGTTGATCCACTTAACAAATGAATGGGAAGTGACACTAAATCTGTGCGGTCATGTGATGTTTTGCTTAGTGACTGCATTGCTTAGCAATGGAGTTTCCAGTCCCAATTGTGGTTGCTAAGTGAGGACTACCTGTATTCCTGGCTGAGATGGTCCGAAACATTTTATTGTGGATTGTTAACTATTTCTTCTACTCCTAATATGGCTTGAGTGGAACAACTGCTGAACACACAAACATACAATAGTATGGTTGTCTCATGCCTGAAGGACCTCCATAGTTTGAAAAAAAAAGTTATTAATTTAAAGTCAAAACAAGCTAAAAGCTAAAAAATGCTGAATGAAATAAAAACCTTGGCTGAACACTGAAGCAGTTCATTATACAATAGCTGACTCCTCAATCGCCTGCCAAAGTCGGCGCCATCTGTCTTGTCCAATCATCTTAAGAGGTTCTGCTGAGTCTCTTCTTGGGGGGGCCTGGACAAAGCAGCAGGTGGCCTTGCACTATGGAACATGCATTCCCCAGAAGCTCAAGCCGTATTCTTCCTTCTTATATTCTGGAAGATGGTTATAATCTTCCTATTCCATCAGGTTTTTAGTTCCAGATGGGCATTCATCTGTGCATTTGTTTGTACATGTTTTGGTATGCTGTACTGGTTTTCTTTCATACCGTTCTTGTCTGTCTTTTTTTTTTTTTTACTTTGTTCTTTGCAGGCATGCGTTGTACACACCTAGTCAAATGCTTGGGGTAGTTACCAAATATGGCAAATAAATAAAGAGGGTGCATGCCACTTGCTTAAAAGAATTCCTTTCTGCATAATATGGGAAGATGTAAATAAGGGATTTATTGAAGAAAAACATACACCGGTATAAAATATTTAACAAAACACCTTTTTGTTTAATTTGTTCTTTAAGTTTTTAAAGTGAAGTTCCAATTCCAGTTAGTGCAACTTTGAAAAGAAGCTTCTTAAGTTCTCTTCTCTTCTCCCTTGTCCTTTACCACCCACTAGCGTGTGGTGTTCAGTGTTCCTGTGTGAGAGGAGTGATGTGAAGATGGGGAAACCAAGTAGAAAGAAATGTTTCTACCAGTTCTGCATCTTTGTGTGTGTAAGCATATTCACAGGGTTCAATTATATGTATGTACACGAGAGCATTAAATGAGAGTGTGCATCTCTGCATAGTTGCAGGGTCATCAGTCTTAGTTCTTAATGCTGAACGTTAATTAGCAGTCCCCAACCATATGCCTCTGAGCCAATTAATAATACTGTATTACCTTGCTAAGATGAGATTATCTCTGATTTGTTACCTCCAGGAATGGTTCTCATCCTTGGCTGTTCTCTCTGCGATGGCACTATTGACACTTTTTATATACAATGTGCCTCCTCAAGAAGTACCCTTGGCTGCCCTTGGAAACTTTCCTTGAACTTTGCTGGAGTTAAAATTGCTCATGCTCCAAATACAGCGCTGACAAAATAGAAAAAAATTCCATCCTGAAAGGTATACTTTTCTTTTCTTTCAACACCAAGTAACATTTGTCTCTGAAGGAAAAGCGTTTTACTATCAATGTGTTATTTTCAAGGCAGATTAAGATGTACCTAGCATTTTTCTTAGAAATTAAGCATTGTGTATATTACTTAGATTTTTAAATATCTTTTTCCAAGAGTGCTTTCCTATTCCAACTTAGTTGTACCAAAAAATAAAGCTCAAGTGAAGTGGAAAAGGGTTCTAAACCCAATTTGTATGATGCTAGGAATAAATTTCCACTTGTAATTGAAACTATATCCTTGAAATGCAACTGTATATTTGGAAATATTAATTTCTTCCTTCTAATTACTCTCAAGACCCAAAATGAAGCTCACTTCTATTTATGCTTTTTGCCTTGCCTACCAACCTGTTTAAACAAGAATTAGATTTTGAACAGGCCCAAACTATAATGTTGGATCCATCAATTGGCTTCATTCATTCATTCATTCATTCATTCATTCATTCATTCATTCATGTGTGTGTATATTCAGAGAGAGCGAGAGAGAGAGAGCGAGCGCATCTTTCAGATCTATTGATAGCTGAATGGATAGCCTTTGAGAACGAAATCTTAGAGGGGTGACAAGGGAGGGCAAGTCACAATACATATATTGTGATACAAACTCCACCTGTTATATACTTGTATGTGACACTGTGATTTAAGTATGAAAGGATGGATCTTGCATTGTGGTGATCCTACACGTTACTGTTATTTTGGCATTATTGTGTTTAAGGGTAGATGCCTTTGGACCAGATTTACTCCCAAGTTTCCATTTGTCTATCTGTAGCCTATCCTCTTTTAATTACAGGTAATTCTCACTTAGTGACTATTTTCAGTTAAAATGGTGATGAAAAAGTAACTTTACAACCAATCCTCACATTTACGTCCTTCACAGGTCTGTAAAGCAAAGGAAAGCTGAAGAAAGATCACAGTCTCAGTTTCACTTAGTGATTGCTTCACTTAATGATCATGTTTCTCTTTGTGGTCGCTAAACGAGGATTACCTGTATACTAATATAAGCATAGTTTTTGGTAAATATAATTAATGCTTTTGCCAAGTCCCTATCTTTTGATATCTTCATGGAATGCTAGGTTGATGCACCTAGTCAAACATCTAGACAATACAACATTTTCTGTGTCCCTCCTGTATGTGATTCCATATATTAACCAGATTTCTGTGCTAAAGGTGTAAAGACAGAAGTGATAGAAGATGAAAAATCCATGGAAGCAGCACAAATGGAGGGAACAGACATGATTGGAGTTGTATTTCAAGATGATGTTTCTATAAAATGGTTTACCCAAGTGAATATATTGGAGATATAGGTAATTTAAGATGTTTGTGTGCTTATGTTCCAGTTTCTAGATACCTATATGTCTACAGGAAATTTAGATGCCAATTTGGGCTTTTGCTGTTCTATAGCCTTATATATCATTAAGTGTATACTTCTAACATATGAAAAATACTTCCTTCTTTATATCAATTCTACAGATGCATATTTAAATAATGTAATATTTTTTAAAATGAGATTATAACACGTTTGGCCTCGCTGCATATGGCAGCACCTAGCTGACCGTGACCATCTTGATAAAGCTAACCAGGATCAGACCTAGTTGGGTAATGAAATGACTGAAACCAAACAACCAAGCTCAGAGAGCACCAAGAACTCCACACCAAAATGCTGCTGGTTGACCTAACAAAAAAAACTTGTTTAGTCCTATATTCTGTGGCTCACAAGCCCATTTGCAGACAAGAGGTTAGTATCCTCCTATTCCAAGTTTTTCAGGAAGTCTTTTATAATTCATAATGAGTCCTTTAATGATGAGAGTTTCAGGAGAAAAAAAAAACTTTTCCACATAACATATAATTAAAGTATGAAATGTAGTAAAATAATATGCATTGGATACTAATTTAAAGGGTTTAATGGGGATAGGAGACATTAATGTAGAATGAAAATTAAACTTGATTCCTCATGACTACACGACACATCCACCTAGTTTTTGTGTAAGCATACAGAAATGCTTTGCTGTTGCTTTCTTCCAAGATTTGTTTTGACTTTCTGCTCTAACCTACCACCATGGGATTATCTAGTTGTCTCCTGTTCCTGCATTAACCAGGTCTGAACCTCCTTATCTTTTTCAAACTCACAAGTTTGAGCAAGTATTGTTACCTGCTGGGAGGATGTAGAAAAAAAGCTTACAGCCACCTCAACCTGTATTTGGCTCAGTTGCAGTTTCCTCTTCTCAGAAAAATATATAAGCAACTCCCCTGTGTTTCAGCAAGGAAGACAGATGAGAATTCATAAGCTTCTCTGCAGTTTATCATTATTTAAAAAAAACCTTTAAAGCGTCTGTCAACCATTTTCCTGCCATGTTTCCAGTTTAATATAGTTTATTGATCCAACAATATTAGAGAGGGCAAAACCACAGCATTATAGAGAAATGGAAGAGTTGATTAGCAGAGGCTTTTAACACACTCGGTGGCCCTG